GTCGGGAATTGTCGGTACGACTGCAAGCGCACGGCCCAAAAGCATGCCAATCTTTAAATCACGATTTTTTTGTAAATACAAATGTCAGAAAATGAACAAATATACCATTCGAAAGATTATTACCTATGTAAGTTTCAAATTTTTTTACAATTTTTAAAAAATATACAGGGGTTGAAAAATTTTTTATATTTTTAATTTTTTTGTCAAATTTGTCGATTGCTGCAATCTTTGTACAAATTATTATTAACATTTTCAGTCGTGTATCGTTAATCGTATAATTTAATAATCTATAATTAAAATTATATTAAAAAAAATATCAGTCGTTGCACAGAGTTTAGTGAAAGAAATTGAGAAATTAAACCACTTCATAAACTTCATTCTAAAAGCTAAAATAAATTTTAAATTCAGTTCAATTTCCAAAAATTAACATTGTATACGTTTTGAGTAATATAGTTTTCTCCTTATGTACAAACATTTACTTTTTTAACCGTTCACTTAAACAGATTGTAATATGTTCGAAAAGTTCATCGAAATATTATACGCAGAACAACTCAAAAATTAAAATTACTATAAAAACTATATTACTATAGGTACAAAATCCAAACTAGAATCAAAAGTTGCGTATTACCTAATAGTATTTATATTATAAATGGCTGATAAACCGGTTTAACAGTTTTTAAATAAAAGTCAAATGGCTTTTTTGCACCTTGGCTTTTTCACCCCGTTCTATTCTAGCATGAATTTTTAGAAATAATTGAATTTTGAAAAGGGTTCAAATTAAAATCTTTGAAAATTTGAATTTATAGTTACAATATTCTTATATTCTTATGATATAAAATAATGATTTTATCACTCTGTCATCTTAAATTTCTTCATGTTTTATAATAAAATTCTCATAAGTTATTGAATTTGAAAATCTTAATTCCTATAGAAAAATAATAATGATTAAGTATTTATTTAAAAGAGAAGTTATTGATGTTTTCGAATAATTTTACACTTATTGAAATTCGTTAATAATTGTAATAGAACATTTTTTTTGGGTATCTAATAATTTTTGAAATTAATCAGTATATTCTGCAGGGTCAGGGAAAAAGAAAATTAAATTTTTGTGGCAACCCTGTTTCAACTGTAATTATTTATTTCAATGTTAATGTTGAATTTTTAGGAAAAAAGGTACTGTGGTCCATGTTTTTTATACTAAATTTTCAATTTTCAGCAAATGCCTACAACCGCTTCATTAACTGCATCAAGTACGGATATAATGAGACGAGCACAAGAGCAGGCAGCCCATCAGAAACAACAGGAAGAATTACAAAAGAAATTATTAGAAGAAACTGAACCGCAAACCTTGCAACAACAGGAGAATATGTCAATTAAAGGACAGAGTGCAAGACACTTGGTTATGCAAAAGCTAATGAGAAAAGTTGAATCCAGAGTTGTTATTTTAAGAAATATGGTTGCACCCGAAGATGTTGATGAGAGTCTACAAGAAGAAATTCAAGACGAATGTTCAAAATTCGGCGTTGTTGAACATGTCATTATTTACAATGAACGACAATCCGAAGACGATGAGGACGCTGAGGTTATTGTGAAAATATTCGTAGCATTTTCCCAAATGAGTGGTGAGTCGACTTTCCTTCGCAAACTTTTTTCCACCACTTTGCAATTTTGTAATTTTTTATTTTCTTCGCAGAAGCTGAACGAGCAAGAGATTCGTTAAATGGACGTTATTTTGGTGGTAGAATGGTGAAAGGTGAACTTTACGATCAAGCGTTATTTGACAACAATGACTTTTCAGGCTGATTTTTCTTTTCTTTTTTACCATCAGTCACGGTTGACAGTGATCTAAGAGTTTATCTATTTTCTCCTATGGAAGAATACGTATTATTGTTGAAAACAGTTTGTGCTAAAGCAAATTTTTAATGCTGAATGTATGAATGTTAATTGTAACGATTTTTCGAATGACTTGTGTTTTAATTTTTTTTTTTTTTTGCTGAAGTAGCATAGTCTTTTAGTTTCAGTGGAAATTCTGAAATACGATTGAAAATGTTGCGATTTTTGAGAATATTTATACCGTCAAGAGATATCGATTGATATTATTTTTTAAAAAAAGTGATATGTTTACGGTGTAAATTTATTTAATTTACACAAATTCAGTAAATTTGTGTAAATTAAAAAAATAATGATATGTACAATTATCATAATACGAAATTCCAACGTATATATATATATATACATCGTGTAACTGTACATCGTAATTAATGACAAATACAATTTTTTTGAACGAATGTAAAGTCTTATTAATTTATATTACAAAATTCAGACTACTTCTTTTTTACCGTAGATTGATATTCTTCATACACTGGAAAATTTCCGGGAGTTTCTGGTGGACCTATCTTTTGAATTTCTGTTCCTCCATATTTTTCTGCAAGTTTTGCTGCATTTTCGCGTTTCATTAAAATTATTTTATAATTTTCTTCAATTTCCTCTTTTGTTGGCACCTCTCGTCGACGATAACGTAACCAAGCTTCCCATTCGGCAGGTAATTCTTGTTCACCATCATCTTTATTAACTGGTTCAAAATGTCGCGCGGCTTTTCTAGATGATCCAGTTCTTGGAGGTGTTTCATAATATTTTGTTCCGTAAAAATCTTCCCCCATTAGCTTCGGTTTTCCCGCTTTTGATGTGATTGATGAAATAAAATCTCTTAAAATCATACCGAGTACACTTCGTTCTCTTCGAGCCATTTTCTAAATTGATAATTAGACAAAAATGCTTTTATATAAAGTAATTATTTTATTTGACAAATAACCAAGTAACTTAATATCCAGGCAAAAATGATTCGTACGAATTTCGTTCAGAAATATGACCAAATTCGTATGAAATTACTAGTAAAATTCGTGTGATATTTTGAAACGTTTTTTCGCACGAATATTCGTGCGAATAATACCCGAATTTTTAATACGAATTATTTATGAAAAATTTGTAAAAATTCGTATGGAATTCCGCATGAAATATCAGCTAAAAATTTCTTCAACAAATTTTTGATCAAATTTCCATACGAAATTCGTACGAAATTCGAGCGAATTACTAACGGATTAATTTTGGAAAATTCGTATGAAAATTTGGCCGAAAATTTTTGAAATAAATTTTTAGCTGAAATTTCATGCGGAATCCCATCAAATTGTCAAAAGAATTTCCATACGAGTTTCCGAGCGAAATTTTTTTTGAAATATTCGTGCGAAAAAACGTTTCAAAACACCAAACGAATTTTACTATAATAGTAATTTCATACGAATTCGATAGGAATTCTGTACGAATTTGGTCGGATTTCTGAACGAAATTCGTACGAATCATTTTTATCTGGGTATGAAAAGTAAAATTATACTCATTCACATTAATTTTAATTGTAATTATATTTTATGAAAGTAAGTATTAAAAAATTTGTGATAAATAGAAAAGTGTAATTCTAATAATAAAGAATCGTGTTTTACCTGTCGCAATAAATTTCAATTTCAAACAATAATAATAATTATGTAACTTAATTTTAAAAATCACTGAATCGATGAACGCAGTAGAAAACCATAATCCATAATTGACTAAGTACAACTCAATAACAACTGCGTATGTGAAATAACAACAATCTAGAATATTGCGTAGAATTAAATTTGCCAAACAAAACTGTCTTTGGTAAAATATATAGGTTATGTGACATTATGTGAGGTTATGTTTTACAAATATATATTATATATATGATATATATATTTCAACTTCTTGATATATTTATTATGACCGGCATGAAGTTGGTACAGCAACTGTATCCTATTTTTAAAATTTAAATTGGGTAATAAATATTTAAAAATTTGTCTTTACATCCTTTACATTAGAAAAACATATTAATTGAAAAATTAAAAATCTTTAAAGAAAAAATTAAAAAAAAAAAAGATTTAGGTATTTAACAAGATAGTATTTTTTGTCTAAAATAATTAACATGGCTTTCAATTTGTCATACTTTAATTAATAAATTTAATTTGATTCAATAACGTTAAATGTTGCAACATGACATTAATACAATTTTTCTAGTACCTTCTTGAACATTCTCTTTGCTTCTTTTTGATACATTATATATATATATATATATATATATATATATATATATATATATATATATATATATATATATATATATATATATATATATATATATATATATATATATATATTAACAACTATCGCGATAGCGTGATTTGAAAGTCTGCAATTTTGCATATCATTCAAAAATGGTTCCAAACTATCATAATATCCGGTCCCAAAAAATTGTGTAATTGTAGTCAAAACAATGTTTACAATTTAAATGAATAATAAAAAAACGCATGTCTTCTTGTTCGAAGAAACACTTAAATTTAGCACAAAGTCTTTTTATGGTCGATAAGTAATGAATGACTTAAAAATATTTCAAAAAGTTGAATATTTTTTTAAATAAATCAAAAGCAAAGACACAAAACGGAAGTGACAGTGGTGCCCTCTGGCTGTTTCGTTCGTAAATATTTAAAGTACATGATCTGTCATATCTGTAAAGGTAAACGCAAAGTCGCAAACATTTGATGCGTCATTATAATAATTTCATTCTTCTTGTATAAAAGGATTGCAATTTCTCGTAACAAATCATTATTGTTTGTGAGATTTAGAGACGTTGATCGGTGTGGATCGGCTGCTGCTTCAATTGAATAATATACGAAAAATTCAAGTGTGAACGTGAAAACAGTTGACATTCACTGGCACATTCTCTATTTGCGTATACGTCTCAAGTCTCAAAGCAAGCTGTCATCATGGCTGGTACTATAGTGAACTTCAAAGTTTACTTGACAAAGGAAAATGCAGCAATGGCAAAAACTGAAGTGAGAAGATTTGGAATTGACAGCGATATTGTTTCTGATTTTCAATATTTACGTGAAAAATTGCAAACCATTTTTCCCAATATCCGTGGTAAACGATTTTCCGTCAGCTGGAAAGGTTAGTATTAGTAGAGTATTATTGTATTGCACATAATATTTGTTTTTGTTGACGTTTTGCCAGATAAATTGAATATGTATGTTGCGGCAGGTCATGTTGTGTTATTAACATTTTTTCGCAGCAATTAAGAAAAAGCAGTTCATTTTTTGCTATTATTATTTTTTTCTGAGATTCAAAATACGGTTTTATAAAAATTAGGGCATTTTATTTATTTATTTTTCGATTTTTTTAAAGTTGTACGAAGAAGATTGTACATTACTTATTTATTATTAAATGAATTTATATGTTTTGCTTAAAACTATTCCTCCTAAAATCGTTATTGACTTTCAATAATCGACATAATTTGCAATTCCAGTTCTTATCAATATTAACTAACAAATAAATTAACAAATTTTTTTCTCGACTGGAAATAAATTGATAAATAAAAAAAAATTTATTTATGCAACTTGAAAATTGTAGTTTTATAAATCCAGTTTTATGACTACTTTAATTTTTAAAGTAATTATTAGATTACTGGAAAACTATCACTCAATCACTTTAGTCATCATGGCTGCTAATGTTTAGGATATTGCGTCATTTTCATACATACAGCAATAAAGCTAAATAAGCTAGCAGCTGTGTGCTGAGATAATAAACGCCGCATCTATAGAAAATGCAAGATAATGAATCACTTCCTAAATAAACCTTAACATTTTTTTTAATTAAAATTATTTCGGAAAATTCTAATTTTTTTCTCTATTGTTTTTTAGATTAAATAATGAAACATTTGTCATTTCTAAAAATAGTGAAATATTTTAAATGACTCACAATTTGATAACTATTGAACATTCTTCACTTTCTTTTCTTATTTTATAGAACAACAAAGTTTAATCTTTTTCAGGGTGACTACTAACCGGGAAATAGCCGGGAATTTAATTTGACCGGAAATAAACCAGGAATTTTATGCCAAACCGGGAATTTTTTCACCAAATTAAAAAAAGTTTTATTATTTTAATTTGTTTTTAAAAAATCGCTTTTTATTCTAAATTTGAATTAGTTAAAAATAATTAATTTGATAGTAAAAAATCAGTCACTGATTCAAACATAGTAAATAAATAAAAAAAAATTATCGAATTAATAGAAATTTTGTGAAATTCAACTCAAAATAATTCTAAATGTTAAAGTATTTCATTGAAAACTTTTTAACAAATCGAATTTTCAAAGTACTTTAATTTAGTAATTGATAAATAATTTAACTTTATAAACAGTCACATTCTAATGTATTCATGTTTCTTAGTGCGAAAATTAATAATTAAAATTTTTATTAGTTAACTTAATAAAATTGAATTATTTTCGCAAAGTCTTTTTTTAAAATTCTGAAAAATAAGATTTTTAAAATTTTTCAATTCTATTGTTTCCAGACAATTGAATATTTATAAACAAACAATTGAAAATTTTTGAAATAATTGACATTTCTTTACATTCTAATAAAAATTATTAAATTCTTTAAAAGAATTTTATTTAAATTTTCCGAAAATAATCAAGGGAAGTTAGTCACCGTAATTGAGCCGCAGCGTGCAATAACAACAGCTACGCTCGGGCTGTCTTTCCGAATCGGAATATCTACTTCGAAATCGGCGGTGGGGACTAGATCTGGCCAATAGGGAGACTGCATTCAAAGTAGATATTAGGGTTAAGGAAGACAGTCCGAGCGTAGTTGTCATTATTGCACGCTGCGACTCAATTATAATTTTATTTTTAAAAATTTCTTCGCAATATATTCAATTATTTACACAAATAGTAAAACTCATTGCAGAATTTCAATTATTTTTTATACAATTTTAATCGAATTCCTCGAAAAATGTTATTATTCTTAAAATTTTTATTAAAATTCGTCGAATGAAAGAATTTAATTATTTCTAGAAACTGTAAAAAAATTCTTCTCAAGAATTCAATTATTTCCATAAATAATAAATTTCCTCAGATTTACTATATTCTTTTGAATATTATTTTAAAAATATATTCTTCACAAGAATTCAATTATTTTCATAAAGAGTGACGCTAAAAACACCTGTTTTTTAGCCCATTTTTCGGACCGCGAATTTTTCAATCAAACATATTCTAAAATGCGCCGTAAAAAGGGATATTAATTTCATAACCATTTTGAAGGGAGCATATCCTTTGTTTTTTGGATATAGTGTTAAAATGGGGGTTTAGAGGGGTTACAAGGGGTTAAAATACCAAAAATTAAATATGCTCAGATTCGCTGGAAACTGGTTACTCGGGGGTTTTCGGGGTCGCTGATTACGAATCCAATATCAGTTTTTCAAAATTCAAAATGGCGGATCCAATATGGCAAACGACTTTTTCTAAAATTGCTCAGATTCGCTTGAAACTAATTACTCAGGGGTTTTTGGGGTCGCTGATTACGAATCCAATATCAGTTTTTCAAAATTCAAAATGGCGGATCCAATATGGCGGACAAGATTTTAAAAAATTTGCTTGAATTCGCTTAAAATTGGTTACTCAGGGGTTTTTGGGGTCGCTGATTACGAATCCAATATCAGTTTTTCAAAATCTAAAATGGCGGATCCAATATGGCGGATAATTTTTTTAAAAATCACATCTTATTGCTTGAAACTTGTTACTCAGGGGTTTTTGGGGTTGCTGATTACGAATCCAATATCAGTTTTTCAAAATTCAAAATGGCGGATCCAATATGGCGGATAATTTTTTAAAAAATTGATCAGATTTGCTTGAAACTGGTTACTCAGGGGTTTTCGGGATCTTTGATTACGAATCCGATGTCAGTTTCTCAAAATTTTAAATGGCGGACAATTTTTTTAAAGTACTCGGATTCGCTAGAAATATCCTACTCGAAAGTTCTTAAATTTTAATGACTTTGTTGTCTCTTTAGTTTTCTTAATTACAAGAGAACACCGAATTATTTTAAAAAATATAAAAAGAATGTGTAATTTTTGTTAGATTAAATTATACAAAGAATTATTAAAAACTAAAGTAAGCCTTACATATGAACATTTATTATTAATTATATAAAAATACATTTTAATTATTTACAACGTAAATTACGAATGCGACGAAAATAACATATATTCAATAAAGATAATCTGTTCTACACACATTGAAAACATTTTTTTAAAATACATGCATCCTTAAAATATAATAAAATGTAAAAAAATAAACGTGACTTAGATAATTTTTGTAGTAAAGGATCATAATTCAAGCGTAATGATCAATCAATTTAATTCTTTTTTGCTTTAGGAATCGTTATAGATATATTGCATACATCAGGATTAGGTACATTTATTCCACGGTATTGCGCATATCCAAGATACCACACAATTGTCATTACATGACTGCAACAACCTGCAGTTCGAGCACCACTTTCGCAGGTGCAATAATACTCACAGATCGCGTCTCTGCTAGTTTTAGCCTTATCAATTAAAACAAAAATGTAGTGATGCTTACCTCCACGATAGCGAGATTTCATGTAAGCTTTAACCCCTTCAGTGTGTAGCTAAAATATAACAAAATGGTCCCAAAATGTGTAAGATCTTCTTGTAAATAAATTTTCATGACAATAGGTACTAAGGGGATTCTGGGGTCGCTGATTACGATTCCGGTGTTAGTTTTCAAAAATTCAAAATGGCGGATCCAAAATGGCGGACACGATTTTGAAAAATTCATTGGATTCGCTTAAAAATCGTTACTCGGGGGTTTTCGTGGTCGCTGATTACGAATCTGACATTAGTTTTTTAAAATTCAAAATGGCGGATTCCAAATAGCGGTCACGATTTTGAAAAATTCATTCGATACGCTTAAAATTCGTTATTCGGTGGTTTTTGGGGTCGCTGATTACGAATCTGTTATTAGCTTTTCAAAGTTTAAATGGTAAGAATTATTAAAAGAATTTATCCACTTTTGAAATTTGTCAAAATTTTTGGCGGCCATTTTGGATGAAAAATTATGTATTCTGAAAATATGACTTCAGAATCGTGATCAGCGACCCCAAAAATCCCCGAGTAAGAATTTTTAAAAGAATTTATCCACTTTTGAAATTTTTCAAAATTTTTGGCGGCCATTTTGGATGAAAAATTATTTATTTTGAAAATCTGACTTCAGAATCGTGATCAGCGACCCCAAAAACCCCCGAGTAAAAATTTTTGCGAATATACGTTAAGATGTTTTCTTGTTCGGGCCATGATGTGTATACACGTCATCCACAGTCAAGGGGTTAATAAGGTTTGGTTGTTCAACAACTATTCCATAATTTTCATAGTTTACAGCAGCAGATGGATGTCTTCGATTGGGATTAAACTTCTGCACTAAAAACAGTCCTTCTTTTTGATGTTCTGTGTAGTAAGAAGCAGCATTTCTAATTTGATAAGGTCCAAGACTTAAATAATAAAGGTCATCCATTGAAAGTTCTGGAAATCCGATTTGTCGATTATTCTCTTCATTATCTAATAAATAATATTCAACTTGGAGAAACGGTGCTCGGAGTTGAGAAAGATTAAATTCTTTTACAATAAGTAGTAAACGATTTGGAACGTTCAATCGTGATTTTAGAATTTGTGCTACATCCGTATGCATTGTATCACTCAGAATTGGTTTGTGAAATAAATTCAGGAGTGCGAATGATATAAGCAGAGATTGAAAATCGTGCATTAAAGTTGCATTATGAGCTGGTAAAGAGAAGATTTTGAATTTCTTTTTCCAACGACCAAAAAGTTGTTTTATCACCCAGCGACATTTGGTTACACATCGCGAAGCATTTGCTTCTTCAGTAGAAAGTTGACCAAGCCCTGGGCATTTAACATTTAATTTTTTATTGTTAGTTAGAAAGCCTAAAACGTCGCGAAAGCCTCTGTCAACTAACATGGTATCACCTTCATAAATTGTACTTAATTCATTTGGGTATCGTTAAAAGCAGTCTTCTAATATGGTTGCATCATTATGCGTTGCATCAAATGGTCCCAATACGAAAAGAACATATCCATCAGGTGAACAGCCTACCATGGGTTAAACTAGCGGCATTTTTTTCTGCTCGCTCCACAACTGTTTCTGACCTGCAAAATTAGCTGATTTCTGTGCAAGACGATAAGTAGCATCGAATACAGTACATGCTTTATTTTCGGGAATGTCGAATAATATTTTTGACATATTTGTGGTATGATCAATAAATACTGAACGATCGTTATTGTTGATAAACTGTGGCACTAAATTCTCTAAAAGATCCTCTCTTGCTAGTGTCATATAATTTGTAATAGATTGCCTCGAAACACCAAATAGAAATGATAATTGCTCATTGGACAAAGCAGTTTGTAATTTACATAAGAAAGAAGCAACATGTTTAGGCTTACATGTCTTACAATAACTGCATATAAGCTGGAATTGTTCTTTATCGTAAGCGAACCAGCTTTTAAATGTATCGTTGTCAAAAGAATCCAGGTTATCTATATCAAATATCATTTTTTTCTTACCTCTCAAACATTGATAGCATTCAAAAATGAGATCACTAGCTTCTTTTTGCTCTTCAGCATTTAATTCTTGGGAGATTTGCTTTACAAGTGTCCAGTAGTTTAAAATTCCAACATGCTCGCTGCACATACGAGCATTGAATTTGGTCACGAATTTGTACTCTGTGAGTAGTTCATCTCGAATAACTTTTGGAATTGACATTAAATTGCAAGGGTTTTTACAACCAAATGAGCATGGCGTATGAGAATTGATACCTTTACGCCAAACAGATAAATCTGGATCATTATCTTGATTATTATCAAAGTTCAGGATGTCTGATTGACTGCTTAATACGTAACAAGGTTTGCATATTTTGCTGTTTTCTGGAATATCACTTAGTTCATCTAATTTTCGTTTGGTTCCATTACCTTTTCTTATGTTATTGATAACATTCAACGGTATGTCATTTAGGGAATAAAACTTATCTTCTTTTTTTTTCTTTTGTTTTTCGCAACCAAGACAAGAAATGAAAGGCATTATGCTTTACATGGAAAGGAATACCAAAAAAAAGAAAGAAAGAAAACCAAAACTTCTGGTTAAGACTTTAAGTTGAATTGGTTATACAAAAGAACACATCAGTTAGGTTATGTTAGTGAAACACATGTTAAGCGGAGCCACGTTAAGGCTGATTCACACGCAAGAGTCCCCACGAAACAATTCACCCACTTTTCCTAGACAGGGCTCGGAAAGAATGGTTCGTTTTATTGCAGGGCACGAAAGGAATAGAATATTAAGGTTTGTTCACACATCACCTGACTGCTAGTTGTCATGCTAGTTACCTTTGTTTGATTCCAGTACTGCCAATCTTACAGTTGGTAAAAGCAAACAATACCAAACGGTTTGGCAGTGGTAATTATGGAATATTTATTATATAATCATACTTATTATAATAATATTTCATTTATAACAATTAATAAAATATTTATTTTTATATGTATTTAATTTAATAAATTACACTATGTGGTAATTTGTGCATACGATATTTTTAAAAAAACCAGATTTATGTCAGCAATCGCAAAAAATTTCATTCAGCGTTAGGCAGCCAAAACCATATCACTCATTGCAAAAATAAACATAAAAAAACTTTTGTTCCACGTTATTTTAATATTGTCAATAACTTAGCGTTTCTGAAATGTCAATAAAAAACAAAGGAACATAAATAACAAAAAAAGGCAAAAAAAACCCAACGTAACCAGTTTCAAGCAAATCTGATCAATTTTTTAAAAAATTATCCGCCATATTGGATCCGCCATTTTGAATTTTGAAAAACTAATATTGGATTCGTAATCAGCAACCCCAAAAACCCCTGAGTAACAAGTTTCAAGCAATAAGATGTGATTTTTAAAAAAATTATCCGCCATATTGGATCCGCCATTTTAGATTTTGAAAAACTGATATTGGATTCGTAATCAGCGACCCCAAAAACCCCTGAGTAACCAATTTTAAGCGAATTCAAGCAATTTTTTAAAATCTTGTCCGCCATATTGGATCCGCCATTTTGAATTTTGAAAAACTGATATTGGATTCGTAATCAGCGACCCCAAAAACCCCTGAGTAATTAGTTTCAAGCGAATCTGAGCAATTTTAGAAAAAGTTGTCCGCCATATTGGATCCGCCATTTTGAATTTTGAAAAACTGATATTGGATTCGTAATCAGCGACCCCGAAAACCCCCGAGTAACCAGTTTCCAGCGAATCTGAGCATATTTAATTTTTGGTATTTTAACCCCTTGTAACCCCTCTAAACCCCCATTTTAACACTATATCCAAAAAACAAAGGATATGCTCCCTTCAAAATGGTTATGAAATTAATATCCCTTTTTACGGCGCATTTTAGAATATGTTTGATTGAAAAATTCGCGGTCCGAAAAATGGGCTAAATTTAGCGTCACTCTTTCCATAAAATTCTAAAAAACAATTCAATTATTTTCAAAAGTAATAAAATTTTTTGCAAAAATTAAATTTATTAATATCAATACATTTTAATAAAATTGAATTAATCAAATTTGCAATTATAATTATAAACAGACAAGATTATTTTAAAAAATTGAAAAAATTCTTTGTTTAATTCAATTATTTTTCAAATTTTTAATTAAAATTCTTAAAAAAACATTATTTTCAAAAAATTTAAAGAATCTGGTCAAAAGAATTTAACTTCATAAAAACTCTAAAAATGTTGGAAGCCATTTGTAGATGTATTTATGTTCGAAATGAAATAAATTTAAATTTGATGAGAATAAAACCCGGGAAAAAACCGGGAATTTTGTTGAACGAAAATAGTAGACACCCTGATTTTTTATATTTGCAACAAGTTCTTTTTATAATAATAATAAACTTTATTGCAGATTGCGATGGAGATAATATTGTGATTTCAAGTGATGAAGAACTACAAATTGCACTTCTCGAAACTCATGGGGCAATGGTGAGAAAGTTTTATTTGACACTTTATTCTGAGTACGAGCAACAAGGAACACAAGCGACAGCACCTGAGGAAGGCGTTCGTCACGATGGCGTCACGTGTGACGGATGCGACAAAAGTGTCTACGGTTTTCGTTACAAATGCATTCAATGTCCCGATTACGATCTCTGCAAGGAATGTGAGGGACAATCACTTCATCCCGAGCACTGTATGCTCCGTTTGCCAATTCCAATGCCATATTCAAAAAATCGCTACATCAGACATTTTGGACGTCGAATGAATAAATACAATGGCAATTCTACCGATAATACAAAGGAATGTCCCAAAAGTTGTAAATTCGAATCACGCTCACGTCATTGTGGCAATAATTTCCCCTGGACAGATCTTTTAGGTGCGTTTGTTTACGATCACAATAATTCATCTCCAAATACTACAGCAAAAGAATGTGCACAAGAGAAATCAACCGACCAAACTCAAACTCAAACTCAAAAGCAACAACAACAACAAGAATCATCATCTTCACAATTTCGTAGAATTTCTGAAACGAATATTGAATTTTTAAAAAATATTGGCGAACAAATTGCCCAAAATATAGGTGAACATATTACACAATTTTTGGATCCACTTGGAATTGATGTTAATGTTCCTTTGAAAAACAATACAAAACAACAGCAGGAGAATAAAACTGACGGTATTGATGCAAAAAATATGCCCAGTACATCATCGAGTGCTGATGAATCGCCGTCAAAGGAGGCGTCAATCGAAGAAAATCAGAGTGAAATGGAAGACAGACAGACAGTAAAGGAGCCAGCTACTTCAAAAGCTAATGAACCAATTGCTTCGATTGCAGAAATAAAAAAGACGATTGAAAATTTAACTCTAGAGAAGAATACACCTGAACCAGAGGGGTGGACTCTATTGAATGAAAATGATAGTCCACCAACAACTACAAATTCATCTCCAAGCTCGTCTCGTGCACCTTCAGTTTCAGAGGTCCCTCCTGCAGAATCGGTAATTAATTAAAATTATAACAAGCATCACAGTTGGTCCCCTTTTGGCCCCTTATTTCAATTTTATCACCTTTTTCACCTTTTTCTAAGAAAAAAAATAAACAATTTTTTCTTTTTTTGAAATCTTTTTCAAAGTGTAGTCATAAAATTTAGACTCAATGTTATAGAATTCAGTGTGTTTTATTTCTGATTTAAATTATTAACACCTCAACATAATATAAATGTTTTTTTTATGTCAGTGATTTAAATAATATAGAAATCGTAAAGAATTTTATAAATTATAAGGTGGTTCGTTCAACAGAATGCAGACCTCTAGGAAAATAATTAATTGTAGGAGGTTGTTGATTTTATAGTAATAAATCACTAAATAACTCTTTACGGAAAAAAAAGTTCACGAATCTGTCGTGAACTAGTATATCACTTTTGGATGGGACACAAAATTTCAAAATTTTCATTCACTTTTGATTAGAAATGGCGAACGTCAACGAAAAACTGAAACAAAGTTAATGAATTTTTGATGAACTGTTAAGGAAGAGTAGTTCGTCAAAAGTAGAGGTACAAGTTGACGAAAAAATCGTGAACTCGCGAGTTTCAGTAGTATGCGCATCAAATATGGCTGATCAAGCATTCATCATTCAGTCGGTGTCATCGGTGTTTACATTCGGGAAAATTCTTTGATGAAAGTTATTATTTAGAATCAGTGTTTTTTATTACTTAGTGAATATTTTTGTTTGCTAATTTCCTTTGTGAAACAAATAATTCATAAAATGAATTAAAAGTTACGATAAGGGACTTTTTCTACTTTGCACGGTCCTGAGTTTTACAGCAGACAAAGCTAATCGTTTCGTTTGTCGAAGGACAGTGTATCTAGATTTAGCCGTGGCGGTTAGTTGTTAGAAATATTATGTTATAGGGTATAGGTACTAGGTTCGAATCCCGTGAAGCGAATTACGAATTTTAATGGCGATAAAATTGTGTATTCTGTGTAGTTGGATGCGTAATAGGCGTCAAGTTATCAAATAAAGTGAAATACTATAAAAAAAGTAGTGTCTGGAAATTATTTTTTCTTGTTTTTAGCATTTTTTAAAAGTTCACGAATTTTTCGTTAACTTTGACGAAAAGTTCGGAAACAGTACTATGTTTCTAGTGAAGGAGTTGATGAAATTTTGACGAACTGTGTTTGTTGATTTTCAAGAATTTTGTGTCCCATCCAAAAGTGATATACTAGTTCACGAGAGATTCGTGAACTTTTTTTTTCCGTGTTTAATAATCTTTATATATCACTGACTCTAAATAACAATCTTAATGATACACAACAGTACTCTTTATATATAATATTAGTATTTAAAGGAGAGTCCAGTGTCCAGAATAGAGTCGAACGCGCTGATAGTAACGCGCTCGTCCATATGGAATACATAGGAGGAGCGCGTTAGCATCAGCGCATTCATACCGACTTCGACTCTATTCTGGACTCTCCTTAAGGAATACACGACGTACGAATACTTTTTTTGGCGTCGGAGAGAAGTAAAGGCCAACGCAGAATAGATCTGTAACCGGAACCGCAATCGTAACCGTAAGCGTAAGAATGAGTTAGAGAAGGATAAACAATATACCTATCCTTCTTTAACTCATTCTTACGGTTACGCTTACGATTGCGGTTCCGGTTACAGATCTATTCTGCGTTGGCCTTAAAGGCCTAAGCACAATAGATTCGCGAAAGTCGTTCGCTCGCGAACGCAAAGCATGAGTTAGAAAAGGACAGAGATATATTTGTGTCCTTGTCTATCTCATGCGTCTCGTTCGCGAACGACTTTCGCGAACCTATTGTGCGTTGGACTTAAGTAATGATAATGTAAAGTGAAGTAAAGTCAGTATCGACAACGGTCGATACTATCGATATAAAAATGGCGTCCGCCCGAAATATCGACAAAGTCAAATCAATAACTCAACATTAATCAACATTCAAATAATTAAAATATTATTATTAATAGTTTTTTCTAAAAAAGCAAAAATTCTAAAACAGAACATTCAATTTTTTCCATTTCTGATAATAATTTCTATTTAAATAACTTAATTCTCGAAGAACTATCATAAAATTATAACTTAGAAATTATTTAAGGCGATTTGAACCTTGATGACGTCACAGATTTAAAACTAATGGAGCTCTCACAGCTCTGCCTGCCTGCGCAGGCAGTAATTGGAGTAAGAGAGAAAATCAATTAGAGTGAAAGAGACAGTAAATTCAAATTTATATGCTGCCTACTAGCTGTGAGAGCGCCTTAATGCTTTGAACAAACCGTGACGTCATCAAGGTTCAAATCGCAGGCTTCGAAGTGACACACTTTTCCACTTTTTTGACACTTTTTTTGGTCAAGCCTACTTTTTGCTACTTATTTTGTCAAAAAGCTACTTTTTGCTACTTATTTTGGCAAAAAGCTACACTGAAAAAAATTCTTAGTAGATTTGACTACTTTTTAACTACTTTCCTTAGTTCAATAAGTCCCCAAAGATAATTTTGAACTTACATTAATTATCAGATATGTAGTTGAATGAAGTGATAATACAGTTGCATTAACTACTTTTCTTAGTTAAATAGGAACCAATGACAGTTTTGCAGTAGAATTAACTGCTGATATGTAGTTAAAGTTACTAAGATAACTCAGTAATAAAGACAACTACTGAAAATGGTAAAATAAAATTATTTATAATTTATTATAAATATTATCGAGTTGTATTTTTTTATATTTCCCCCTACCCACTTTTGTTTACCTATACCTTATTTATTTAATGTCTATATACCTAACGGAGAAAAATCTCTAAACGTCGGGAGTTGAACGCTCGACCCTAACATTTGTAAACCGATAACCCAACCACCTAACCACGCTCGCCCGCTTCAATGAGTTGCTTAATACTTAAAGGCATTCCTGACACAGTTCAACTGATAACTGTAGTTAATTTTACTACTTAAAGTAGTTGCATTTACAACTTCTCACAGTTGATAATCTTCTATAAAAATCTATAACATAAATTACATGGAAAATAATTCAACTCCTAGAAGAAGTAAAAACTACTACAAAATTAGTCTATCGAACTACTTTAAGTAGTAGAATCTACTACTTTCTGTAGTCATTTCTGTAACATACCTGCAGTTACAAAGTTAACTATAAAATTACATTAATTTAATTAATAATTTTTAACAACATAAAACAGTTAAAATAAGTATCAAAAGTAGCCAGACTAACTAAAAAAGTAGTTCGTTTTATTACTTTTTACTCTACTAAGGGGATGTAGTTGAAAATGTCTCATGTATTTTTTTCAGTGTACTAAATGCTACTTTTTTCCAAAAAATGTAAAAAAAATTTACAGAATTCAAGAATTTTAGTTTTTTTGGTGAATTTCGTAGATTTCAAAAAACCCGCCAAATGAATTAAATTTATTATTGGACGCGTGATTATAATATATTATAATAATTACTAATAGTGGATGTTTATTAAATTACAAATTTTTAACGTTTCGAATTTTTCGTATCTAATTTTATTATTCTTTAAGCTTCTTAAAAAAATTAAAAACTAAATTTTTCATTTTTCACTATATAATTTAATAGTAATACCTTTTTTGACTTTATAAAAGTTTCATCAAGTATAGAAAAAATCAATTAAGAATGAAAATTTAATTCTTTTGGTTATATAAATTGTTTGATTAAAAATCCAAAATAATATTTATTTAACGTGATTATTTATTATATTATGTTTACAAACTTTATGTCAAATTTAAAAATATTAATTGTATTTTCAATAATACAGTGTTTAAAGTCGGTTGTTCAATAATAAAAAAATCATTTATAAAGATTTAAGATCTATCTAGAAAAAAAATTATAATTTTTTTTATTGGAATTAAATTGCTCATAATTTATTATTGTACAAAATTATGGCTATGTGGATTCTAAAATTAAAAAAATTTATATGACTATAAACAATCCATTTTTTCCATTTTGATAGTTGTTATTAGTAAATTACTAAAAAATGTTTACGTTTCATTTTTAAAAATTAGATGGCTGATAAAAAGTAATTGATAGTTTTTTAAAAAATAATAAGGAGAAAGAAGGTGTCAATTTAACTTCTCAAAATTATGAGCCTGTTATTAAAAAACAAATTCTTATGAAAGATCTCATTTCAGTATTATTAACAATTACATTTCATTATGTAAATAAAACTTTCCAATGTAAAATATCGACAAAAAAGCTATTATATTTTCATGTTTTATGTTTATAAATCAAAATTTAAAAATATTTTGTGAATTCCTATTTTTAGTATTTTTTTCTTTCAATTTTTTGGACAACAACATATATTCACTTAATTTTCTTACTTAAAAAACTAATTTTACTTCATTTTTAATATGCTACTTTTTGCTACTTTTTTTCAATTTAGAGGACACTTTTTTCTTCCAAAATGCTACTTTTTCACACTTTTTTTTGACCTGCTACTAGACTTCCAAGCCTGAAATCGCCTTAATCAATAATTTTATTTATACATTTCAAAATTAATTGAATTTTAAAATAGTTTCGTTTACAATTTTCATAAATAGATAAACTTGCAAAGATATTAATTTTAAATTTTATAAAGTTTCAATTTTGAATGAATTTAATTAGAAATTCTAAAGAACTTAAATTTTTGCAAAAAATTTCAAAATCGAGGTTTTTTTAGTTAAAAACACTAAAAAAAATTTTTATTTTGGAGAAGTTTCAAATAATTGCAAAAATTCAAATACTTTTAAAAATAATAAATTTCTTCGTAAAAATTCAATTATATTCAAAAATTCCCGTCAAAATTCCAATTTTCTTTATAAATAATAAAATTCTTCTTCGAAATTCAATTATTTTCATAAATAATAAAATAATTTTACAAGAATTCTATTACTGACAAATTTTTTATAAATTAATTTCTTCGCAATAATTCCATTATTTTCTTTTTCATAAATAATCAAACTCATCGCAGAATTTCAATTATAATTTGTACAATTTTAATCAAATACCTGGAAAATGTAATTATTTAAAAAAAAATTTATTGAAATTTGTCGTAAGAATTTAATTATTTAAAAATTTGTTGATAAATTTCTTTATGAGAATTCAATATTAAGAAACATTCAATTATTCAATATGAATTATGTATTAATTTTTGTATTTAAATAATTGAATTCTAGTAGAATTTTCTAATAGAAATTAATTTAAAAGTTAATTTCAGTTAAAATTTTACATAATAATTGAATATTAAAAGCATTATAGCGTGAATTCTTAGAAATAATTGAATTTTGAAAAAGTTTCAAATTGAAATCTTTGAAAATCTGAATTTTTCATATTTTTAACTAAAAATTCTGTAGAATTAATTTTTTCAAAAAGTTTAATTCAAATTATTCGAAGTTCTTATTTTTAAATAAATATTTAATTGAATTGAAAATTCTCAGAATTTTTCAAAAAATTTATTGTAAATAATTGATTTAATGAAGAATTTTAGTTAAAAATTCAAGAAAATAATAATTCAATTGAAATGATGAAAATAATTTTGAAGAAGTTACAGTAAAAATATTTTTTATAGTAAAAAATAATGATCTTATCACTTTCTTCATGTTTTAGAATAATATTCTCAAAAATTGTTAAATTTCAAAAAGATTTGAATTTGAATGTTTTGAAAATTTGAATTCCTATGGAAAAAAATAATGATTAAATATTTTTTGAAAAAAGAAGTTATTGCTGTTTTCGAATAATTTTACGAATATAGGACAAAAAGTCCAATCCAAAATATCCACACCAAAACATCCAAGAAAAAAAATCCAAAGTACAAAAAATCCAAAGAGAAAATGTCCAAAGTAAAAAAATCCAAATGAAATAAAAAAAATAAATCAAACCAATTTTGAGGATGAGAAGACTCTTAAATTTATTCCGTTTGTATTCACATTTACATCTTTTTTTTTTTTTTTCTTCTTAAATGACTTTTGGCATAGCCGACTGTCAGAACTAAATTCACATTTACATGTGAATATGGTGACCAAGTAATTTGATATATTCTAATTCTTTCTCCTCCTGTGAGTACTCTTCGTAAGTTTTTACTATATTCAAAATTTGTTCGTCTAGACGTCTTTGCTTTCCAGGCGGCAAATTTTTTACTCCTTTTCCCAAGTTTAGGTCTCTTAACATGTACTCCACATCGGCTTGTTCCTTTTGTAAGTCTTTGAGAAAGTGATACAGGCTTGGATGACTTCGTCCGACTAAAATTTGAAATCTATTATGCCACCCTTCCGAGGCATTGTTGGTACGAGCAGTTCCCTGAAGTACTGAGTGATAGTGGTTCCAAACAGATTATAATTTTGAAAATTTTGAATAAATGTGAACGAGAAAGAGAAATTGACAGAAGATTAAAGAAAAGACAACCGCATAAATAAAAATGACAATTTCACATTGCTTATATTTTTTTGGAATTTTTTCAATTTTGGACTTTTTACTTTTACTTTGGACATTTTGACCAAGACATAAAATCCAATCTAAAAAATCCAACATAAACAATTTTCAAAATTTTTTTTTGGATTTCATTGACTGTGGACTTTTTGTCTTGGACTTTTTGGTTTGGACTTTTTGTCCAGGTACCTAATTTTACAGTTAAAGAAATTCGTAAATAAATGTAATAAAACCTTTTATTTGAGTAGCTAATCATTTTTAGAGTGAATCGCAGAATATTCTTTAGGTAAAAAGTCAAAATTTTGTCTGGAAATCAGGGAAAAACAAAATAAAATTTTTGTGGCAACTTTGATTAAAATCGAATCGTTATGGAAGCTATATGATAAAAAATTTGACTTATATATGGGGCATTCCACGCCAAGTCGGACACCTTTTGACTTTTGCATCTCCGATTTTTTTCAAATATTTTTTTTTTTTAAGTGCTGGTTGAAAGGAACTTCCATTATTTTTTTCAAATTTTTTCATGAAGTAATTTAAGAGATCTGGGTTTTTGAAAAATCACGTTTTTTACATAAATTTTTTTTTTAAATGCTTATAACTCGGACAAAAATTGATCAAATTGGACGTTCGATATATGAAAATTTTTGTTTTTACACGTAGTTTTTGATAAAAATATTTAAAAAAAATTTTTTTTTAATTTACCAAAAAAATTTTAAATTTTAAAAATAAAATTTAATTTTTAAGAATGTATGTATCGATCGATTTTTTTCAAAATTTTTTGTAAGAAACTGGTACTAAATTAAGAATTTTTAATCCTTGTCTGATTGTGGGCAAACGATAGGATCTATTTATTTTGAAATTTTTAATTTTTGTAAAACGGTAGGTAGCCAAATGCCTAACTTGCAATTTGATCAAATCACTTTTTTAAACAGTAAGAAGGTTAAGTTCGGAGAGACTCAGTCTGAAAACAGTTTTGGTTTGAAAAATTTGCGTGATTTGGTCAAATGTCAAGTTACGCATTTGGCTACCTACCGTTTTCACTGCGTATACAAAAATTAAAAATTACAAAATAAATAGATCCCATCGTTTGCCCACAATCAGACAAGGATTAAAAATTCTTAATTTAGTACCAGTTTCTTACAAAAAATTTTGAAAAAAATCGATCGATACATACATTCTTAAAAATTAAATTTTATTTTTAAAATTTAAAATTTTTTTGGTAAATTAAAAAAAAATTTTTTTTTAATATTTTTATCAAAAACTACGTGTAAAAACAAAAATTTTCATATATCGAACGTCCAATTTGATCAATTTTTGTCCGAGTTATAAGCATTTAAAAAAAAAATTTATGTAAAAAACGTGATTTTTCAAAAACCCAGATCTCTTAAATTACTTCATGAAAAAATTTGAAAAAAATCATGGAAGTTCCTTTCAACCAGCACTAAAAGAAAAAAAATATTTGAAAAAAATCGGAGATGCAAAAGTCAAAAGGTGTCCGACTTGGCGTGGAATGCCCCATATGCAACTTGTATAAACAAATAAATTCCCCTTTTCACCTTTTTTGAGGAAAAAAGGTACTGAGATGCTTGTTATAATTATAAGAAAAGTAAGCTTTCTATTTTCAACTTTAATTAATAATCTAGCACGCGATTCTCTTTCAGTCACAGCCAAGTGCTTCTCCAGTCACATCAAAAGATTCCTCAACATCACCTGACAAACCACTTTATCCGCCATTGCCGAAAGAAGGTAAAGTTCCATTCCATTCAAATCCAAAAATTCAACGTGCTATTGAGACAATGATGGAAATGGGATTTTCAAATGAAGGAGGATGGTTGACTCACCTTTTGGTTACCAAAGAAGGTGATATTAGCAAAGCTCTGGATATTTTGGCGCCTATACGTCGTTAAAGATTTTTTTAGTTTATGGGTTGTTTTTTCATTTAAATCTTCAATTATATTGTTATGCTTAGAGAGGGAAATCATTTACAAGACGAATTCGCATTCCATTCTAGAATTGTTATTATATGCAATAATTCATAAAGATGCGAACGCATTGATATTAGAAAAAACTTAAAAGTAGAAATTACTTTAGTCTCTGTCTACTAAATATAAACTGTTCATTCTATTCATTCTTGGTGACTGTACTATTTACAGTGTCCAGTGGGTATCAATAAATAAATAAATGTGGAGAAAAAAATGCCTTAGTTTTTAATCTTAATTTATATAAGAAAAAATAATTCAAATTTTGACTAAGTTGTTATTTATTTGTAAAAATGTACATAAGTGGTAATTTTTTAAATGTTTTTTTTTTTATACTATTACAAACTTGCACAGAATATGGATAATTTTCCAGGATTTTTATCTGTTAACAATTGCAGTTCTCTGTAACCCTTAGGTGTTAAATTTCTTATCCATTTTCTGTCTTTGTAATATTCAATCATCATTTCAAATTCTCCGTCGTCGTATTTTTCAACTTTGACCGGTATAAATGGATCTAAATGTTCGAAACCTTCTTTCTGCAGTAAATATCGAGGAAGAACGGAATCTTTTGTTTCCTATTATTCAAATGAGAAATTGTTAGAATTTTTTTTATTTTCGCAAAAGAAAAAAATTACCTATCTAAATGAAATTTGTTTTTTCGCTTCATTACCTTGACTGCATCTTTATCGACACCCACAATAACTGCTCCATTATTCCAGTCGGATTTTGTAATATCGAGAAATGCGTGAGTTATGGTAACTTCTTTTGTTGGTATAAATTGTTTATTTTCATTTCTAACTCTCGTGTGGTTTGACAATAAAGCATTGTAGCCGTCAATTATTACCATGACTTTACATTTACCATCGGCACACCACTGTTTCAATTCTTGCATCAGTGTAATTATAATTTCACTTGCAAATTTAATACGACTAGTGCCAAAGTCAATAATGTCTAAAATGGGAGTTCCTTTTAGATTACTCTCCCTCGCACTCCAAACGTAATCTTTTGATGTTCTTAACTACGAAAAATTGTTTACAATTAAAAATAATGGTAATTACAAAAAAAAAATTAATTATTCATTTTACTTACATCGAGACTTTGTAATAAATGTTTGTTTTGAATTTTAAAATGTCCGAGCCACGTGGCCGATTCTATTGGCAAATCTGTGAGACCCTCTCGAATATGTGATTTCGCATATTCCTTTGGAAATTCATACCATCGTTGAACTAGATTATTTTAATTAGTAAAATATTTTTATCATTATTGAATAAATTATTGAATAAAATTTACTACTTACGCCAAGGAACGTGGACAACAATATGTCCACTCATATGACCATAGTGCACCATATGCATAAGTGAAACTGATTTTCCTGATCCCGTTTCGCCATCTGAGTAAATTCTCATGTTCAGGAATAATTTTAACATATCAAAAAGATTATAAACTTAAACATTAAAGCATTCAGAAATAAAATAAAAATCAGAATTTAACCGGGAATAAGCCAGGAATTTTATGACAAACCGGGAATTTTTTCACAAAATTAAAAAAAGATTTATTATTTTAATTTGTGTTTAGAAAATCGCATTTTATTTCAATTTTTATAGATATTTATTATACTCTAAATTTGAATTAGTTAAAAATAATTAATTTTATAGAAAAAATCAGTCACTGATTCAAATATAGTTAGTAAATAAATAAAAAAGAATTATCGAATTAATAGAAATTTTGTGAAAATCAACTGAAAATAATTAAATTTGTTAAAGAATTTCATTAAAAACTTTTTAACAAATCAAATTTTCAAAGTATTTTAATTTAATAATTGATAAGTAATTGAATTTTATAAAGAGTCACATTCTAATGTATTCATGTTTCTTAGTGCGAAGATTAATAATTAAAATTTTTATTACATATAGTTAATTTAAAAAAAGATACACACTTACAATTTTTTAATAAAATTGAATTTTCGCATAGTTTTTTTGAAAATTCTGAAAAATATGATTTTTGAAATTTTTCAATTCTATTGTTTCAAGATAATTGAATATTTATAAACAAATAATTGAAATTTCTTTACATTCTATTAAAAATAATTAAATTCTTTTAAAGAATTTTATTTATATTTTTCGATAATATTCAAGTGAAGTTAGTCACCGTAACTATAATATTTTATTTTTAAAAATTTCTTCGCAATATATTCAATTATTTTCATAAAAAATAGTAAAATTCTTCAGATTTACTAAATTCTTTTAAATATTATTTAAAAAAAATTCTTCACAATTCCATTATTTTCATAAATTTGCATAAAATTCTTTGCAGAAATTCAATTATATTTAAAAATGTTTTTAATTTCTCCTCAAAATTTCAATTATTTTTATAAATAATTAAATTGTTCTCCACAATTGAATTATTTTCAAAAATTTTAATAAAATTCTACGCAAAAATTTAATTACTTTCATAAATATGTAATAAAAATTCTTTGGAAGTATTTAATTACTTTTATAAATAGTAAAATTCTTTGCTGAAATTCAATTAGTACCTATCAATACATTTTAATAAAATTGAATTAATCAAATTTTCAATTATAATTATATGAACAGACAATATTATTTTTAAAAATTGAAAAAATTCTTTCTTTAATTCAATTATTTTCCAAATTTTTAATTAAAATTATTACAAAAACATTATTTTTAAAAAATTTAAAGAAACTCATCAAAAGAATTTAATTATTCATAAAAACTCTAATAAAAATTTTGGAAGCCATTTGTAGATTTATTTATGTTCGAAATGAAATAAATTTAAATTTGATGAGAAAAAAAATCGGGAAAAATTATGACAAAGCCGGGGAAAAACCGGGAATTTTGTTGAACTCCTTGTTATTAATGACAATTATTTTATCATTTTTTCATATAAAATAGCATATGTGACGCTCCACGAAAAAAGGGACCTTATTTACTCTTGTCATAAGGTCCCTTTTCTCGTAGAGCGTCACATATAGTTACTACGAAAAAAAGCTGGACTCTTTTAATTAAAGCTGTTTGAAATAAACAGTTTTTTGTGTCTCCTGTAAAATTTCAAAAAACCGAGTTCAGCCCTTTTCGAAATTCACGATTCAATTAAAGTTTTTTTGAATAAAAAAATGTTGTAATCCAACAAGACTAAAATACTTTTTATTACTATTTGTTACTTTCATTCGATATTAATTTATTGTTAAATATGCTATTAATCATATATTTTTGTCTCAAAAAAGCAGAAATAAAGTGAGAGAATTTTTTTCTCAATCCTTGCTGGACACCATGCTCACACAACAATCGAGATTCCACTGCAACTTTAAAAGGATACATATAACAAATTTGTTCACTGGTCTCGAATAGTCACATTGATGCAAATATGATATAATTTCTAAAAAAGGCCGTCTAATCATAATGGAACATTCGTTAAAAGTTTTTGCATTAACTTCAAATGCTTTCGGCATTGCATTGGTGAAAAATAATCTTTTCCTTTCATTGGGAGGTATTGTGTAGAATCTCTTTAAATGATCTATTGTATGATTAACTGGATTGCATTCATTTGTTCGAAACAATGGCAATGGTTCTTCTGGTAATCGTGCTGGTTCAGCGACATTACTAAGTTTTCGAACGGCACTTGAAGATATTCTTCTTATCACAGACTCTGAAAAACATTTGTTTGCAAATAAGGTATTATGAGTAGTCACTGCTTTCAGATTTATAGAATAATAATTTTATTATAGGCAATATTAATAAATAAAATAGCAAATATTACACGCGGAACATTATGTTCCATTATTATTATTATAATGCAAATTTCAAAATTTTTTATTTTCAAATATAGATTTTTGAATAATTTCATAATCAAAATTTAGAAAATTCCCATTTAATTAATATAATTTTTTAATTATTGATTATGTATTACTTTTAAAAATCTTAAATTTTGGAAAATAAGACTTTTTGAAAATTTTGTTAAGAAATAAGAAATGTACGAGTAACGACCTATTTTTGAACCTAATTCGAGTAGAAATTACGAAATTATTGGTATTGGAAAAAACAAAAATTATTAAAAATATCATTTTCAAAATTCATATTTTAAATAATTTTATAAAAGCAGAAGTGTTCAATGTAATAAAATTTATGTAAGAATAAAAAAATAAAATAAATTATCGAAAAAAATCTTCATAAGGACCAAAGTGTTCATGAAATAAACACAATAAAATCATCTTTTAACTTGGCAGAGGTTTTTTTTTAAAGTAAAATCTTTACAAAAATTCAATGATTTTCAGTACACTATAATTTTAAAATTGGAAATATTTAAAAAGAAAAATTATTAAAAAAGTTAGGAAACAAAAAGCACAAACAACGACTAATTTAATGCAGAAGATAATTAAAAATAGAAAAAGTGTAATAAATAAATAAAAAAGTTATTTTTAAAGGCAAATTAAATTTATTTACGTTAATGCTATCCAACAAAATATAAAATAATAAAAATTTGCTTGGAGCATTAAGGTTAGGTTTATTTATCTACTTACATATACTTCTCGTTCTTACTTATTTAAAAATTGATCTTAACAAATATCAACTTACCGATGCAAAAGGCCATAATGTTTTTCGTCAAATAATTCCAATTGTAGTGAATTAATTTTCTACAGTTTAATTAATTTTTATTCGCACTGCAAAACATGCGAAACATCCATTTCAGATTATTGGAGTATTTTTCGTCTTTTTGTAATTTTGAGGTTGGGTATTTCGTTTTCGACATTTGTTTTGACTCTCAGTCTCAGTCGTCTCAGTCTCAGTGCGCATTGTGTTGTATTTATTTTCAATTTAGTTTACTCTAAATTATCGTTTACATTAAATATAAACTACTTTAGTTAAAATGGCAATTTCTTTTAGCATTAATAATAAGGGGAAATCTATTTTTTTATAATAAAAATAGAAAGAAATGTATTGAAATGTATTGAAAGTGTGGTTACTAAAGTTGAAAACTTTGAAAAGAATTTTTAAGATTTTCTAATAATTTTGTATTTGTTTTCGAATATAGTGTTTCTAAAAATGAATTTAGAACTTCTGGGTAAATATTTTTATACTACCTAATGTTTATTGTTACTTTTAAAATTATAAGTTTGAATTAATATCCTGTTTTTTTCATTTTAGAATCTTTTGGACAGAATTATCCAGAAGTAAGTAAAATGACTTTTCATTTGTTTGTAAATAGTATTTGATGCTAATTTTTGAGTATTTTTGATTTAGGAATTTGACGGAACTTTAGATTGTATATCGCTTGCTGTAACGTGTACATTCAATAAGAGAGGAACGCTACTTGCCGTTGGATGTAATGATGGTCGTATTGTTATTTGGGATTTTCTAACACGGGGGATTGCGAAAATAATAAGTGCTCATGTTCATCCCGTCTGTTCACTTAGGTCAAGTTTTTTAAAATGCCAAATTTTTTAATAAAATTCGAGTCCATTTATAATTATTATTACGTATTTGATATTTTATACAGTTGGTCAAGAAATGGGCATAAATTATTGAGTGCTTCCACGGATAATAATGTTTGCATTTGGGACGTTTTATCTGGCGAGTGTGATCAAAAATACAGGTTTCCTTCTCCTATATTGAAGGTACAATTTCATCCTAGGAATTTGAATAAATTTTTAGTGTGTCCGATGAGACATGCAGCTGTCATGGTAGACGTTGAAGGCTCCCACAGAGTTATTCCTCTAGACGAAGATGTAAGTTTGACAATAAAATTGATAGATAATTTATAGAAAAGATCCAATATTTTGCATTGACATTTCATTCGTTGTGTATTCTTTTCATTTGTAGAGTGATTTGAATATTGTGGCGTCCTTCGATAGACGTGGTGATTATGTTTACAGTGGAAATGCCCGTGGACGTGTTTTGATTCTTGACGCCGAGACTTTGGCTGTGAAAGCTTCTTACAAAATATCCCAGGGAACTGCCAGTAACACAGCTGTAAAGAGTATCGAGTTTGCACGAAGGGGCTCGTGTTTTCTGATAAATACATCCGATCGTGTAATTCGCGTCTACGACAGTACAGAAGTTTTGGCCTGCGGAAAAGATGGCGAACCCGAACCCATTCAAAAATTACAGGATCTCGTTAATAAAACAATGTGGAAGAAATGTTGTTTCTCCGGCGATGGCGAATATGTTTGCGCTGGCTCGGCCCGACAGCATGCGCTCTATGTTTGGGAGAAGAGTATCGGAAATTTGGTGAAAATTTTACATGGAACTAAAGGCGAACTCTTACTTGATGTTGTGGTACGCTATTCAGTTCTCCTTTTGCACAAAATCTAATAAAAAATAAACAATGTTTTCTTTTTCTATATTTAGTGGCATCCTGTGCGTCCAATAATTGCTTCAATCTCATCGGGCGTTGTTTCAATTTGGGCCCAGAATCAAGTTGAAAACTGGTCGGCTTTTGCACCAGATTTTAAAGAATTGGACGAAAATGTTGAATACGAGGAAAGAGAGAGTGAATTTGATTTGAGTGATGAAGACAAATCGGTAGTGCAAGGAGAAGAAGCTCAGGATGAAGAAATAGAAGTCGATGTAGCGGCGATTGACAGAGTGGCGGCTTTTTGCAGTTCCGACGAAGAAACTGAGGATATTGGTTCTTTGCAATTTCTACCGATTTCTCCAGATGTCGAAGAATCCGAGGAGACTCCAGTTCCAACTCATGAACCTCCAATGAAAAAGCATCGCTCGCATGACATTCAATTGCAAGGAGCACCAACTGATGGTAATTTCATAATTTTTATTCTTATCAGATTTTCACACTGAATTTCTACTTTTTAATCCAAAATATTTTAATAACAACATTTCTTGTAGAAATTCATCCTCTGTTAAGTAAAGGAAAAGATAAACCGGCAGCAAAAAAAGGAAGACCTAGGTTGGAACATCGAAAAGGAAAATAAATTCATTTCGATTGATAGGCTTTGTATATTTATTGTGAAAATGTAGTTTGTAAAATCTATTTTTTTCCTTTATCAATTGTAAGAAGTCATTTCGTGAGTACCATATTTTTTTCTAATGTAGTGAACTTTGTGACGAGATAATAAAATTAATATACACCCAATAAACATAATAATTTTCCTTCCGGTTTGGACAACTTTTTGAAAAGTGGTGTGTCTTCTATAAGAATGTTTTAACTCTATGGCACTGTTAAGGTTTCTCCAATAGGTTCCGACGAGACGCATGCATATCCCCTAATCGCCAAGTCGTCGAATGATCAAATAGTCGAATGCCAAGTAATCGAATGGACAAAACGTCGAATGCTAAAAACATCGAATTATCAATTCGTCGAATGCTTAAAACATCGAATTGTCAATTCCTCGAATGTTCAAAACGTCGAATGTTTAAAACGTCGAATGCTAAAAACGTCGAATGCTCAAAACGTCGAATCGTCATTTAGTCGAATGGTAAAACCATCGAATAGTCCATTCGTCGAATGCTTAAATAGTCGAAACGCCATCTGTTCGAAATGTCAAGTAGTAGAATGGTAAAGTAGTCGAAACGCCATCTGGGGCCGTATTCTCGAATCGATGACCCTAGATGTCGCATGCGACAGACCATTCGAGATGGAAAAAGCTATTCTCGAACGCTTGTCGCATGCGAGATTTCATGTCGTATGCGATAATTTCCGAATGGTTCATCTCGAGTGGGTAGTGGCCATTCGAGATGCAAAGTCGTATACGAAATGCTAGTAAAAAATAAGGTTGTGTGTCATCCTTGTAATAAACGTATATAATATAAAGTAGTATTAGTGTACATGAACCGCATGCTAAAGTAGAAAAACTATACAAAATAACCTAAATGTAATGTTTAAGAATTAAAAGTAAACTTGTGAAATAAAAGTTTAATGTAAATAATTTATAATATGCAAAATTTATAATAGATAAATTGCACATGTTTGTGTTATTTTTGTGAATGAATCATGTTAACAATATATTTATTTTATTTTTTATTTTTTTTAATTTTTTAATCTTCGTTTCATTTTTTCTGTCTGTTCACACTTTAAAGTTAGTTTTTGTGTATGCTTTTGTTTTTTTCTTTACAAAATATTGTTTCACAAATTGAAAGTATGGTCTTTTTTAAGATTTAAAATAAAATAAAATTTAAAATTATAAAATTACAAAAAATTTTGATTAACAAATAAATTTTCTTTTTGCAAAAATAGGAAATATATATATTTATTAATTAAAATTATGCATAATATAAAGGGATATATCCCTTTATTATGCATAATTTTAATTTTTCAATAACAATATTGTTCACAAACTGATTCTTTTCTTTAAAAAAAAAATATTACATATTCCAGTTTCTTAACATTTTTGTAAAAAATTCTCAATTTACAAATGCTAATATTAAAACTTTAATATAAAAAAAAATGTTGTTACATTTATTTACGAATTTCTTTAATTATAAAATTATTCGTAATAATATCAGTAACTTCTATTTAAATAAATATTTGATTGTTATTATTTTTTCATTATTTTATTACATTTAAAAATAATTAAATTTTTGTAATCATTTTGTAACGTACGTCTACAAAATTCAATGTATTTAGTGTTTTTAACTAAAATTCTTCTATAAATTCATTATTTTTAATAATTAATTAAATATATATTGCCAAATATAACTAATTTCAAAAGAATTTGAATTATCAAAATTTTAAATTAAATTCATTCAAAATTAAAATTTTATAAAATTTCAAACTGAAACCGCTTAAAGTTAATTTGTTTATAAAAATTGTAAACGCAAAATTGAATTGATTTTGAAATATTTAAATGAACGGATAACTATTTGTATTTTTCTCATATGTCAAGTTCTCTTCCTCCTCAATTATGATTGGCAGATAAGTATTTGGAAACGACGGCAACAATGTATGAATGTCGCACACGGAAATTTTCGAACAACCTATCTCGAACGGTCATTGAGAATAGACTTTCAGAGTCGCATGCGACATTAACCATTCGACATTTTACGCATGCGAGAATTGTCGAATGCTTTCGAGAATACGGCCCCTGTTCGAATTGCCAAGTAGTAGAATGGTAAAGTAGTCGAATGATAAAAACGTCGAATGCTCAGAACATCGAACTGTTAATTCGTCGAATGCTCAAAACGTCGAATGATAAATACGTCGAATGCTAAAAACATTGAATCGTCAAAAGTTCGAAAAAGTTCTTTGTTTTAAGTTAATGTCAGGAAGGAAGAGTAAGGAGACCGAACTCTGTGTAGAAAGCGCTTTAAAAATCTCAGAGAAATATGCACGAAAAGTGCCAGGCTCACTGCGTTCTAGTCGACTTCCAATTAAGTTGATCATGCGCATAAGCTGTGTTGTGTCTCTGTTTCTCGTAAAAATTGTGCGAGTGAGATGTAAGTTCTAATGTTTACATTTAGCCGGTCTTAGTGAGATACATACATATACAATACATTTCGTTTTAATAATTATTTATTTATTTTATTTAAAAATTGTCGTGTTGTGTGCCAGGATGTAAAGAAAGAAAAAGAGTCTAAAAACATTAGTCTCTTCTATCCTTCTACGGTATGTAAATAGACTCTAGTTATAAACACAATTCTTCTTAACCATTTTCGCAAAATTTTTCCCTTTTCATAAATATATTATTAAATTATTTTGAAAATCTAAATAATATCACAATTGCAAATAAATAAATTTGCTTTTAAAATTAACACTGTTTAAACTATGTAATATTTACCTTGACATAACCACACTTTGTATCTATGTCAACACTGAACTTTAGTTCAATGCGCATGATCGACTTAATTGGTGATCAACTAGAACACAGTGAGTCTGGCACTTTTCGTGCATATTTCTCAGACATTTGTAGAAGCAGAGTTCGGTCTCCTTACTCTTCCTTCCTGGTTAATGTCTACTGAAGACAAAGAACTTTTTCGAACTTTTGACGATTCGATGTTTTTAGCATTCGACGTTTTTATCATTCGACGTTTTGAGCATTCGACGAATTAACAGTACGATGTTCTGAGCATTCGACGTTTTTATCATTCGACGTTTTGATCATTCGACTACTTTACCATTCTACTACTTGGCAATTCGAACAGATGACGATTCGACGTTTTGAACATTTGACAACTTTACCATTCTACTACTTGATAATTCGAACAGATGGCGTTTCGACTATTTAAGCATTCGACGAATGGAGTATTCGATGGTTTTACCATTCGACTAAATGACGATTCGACGTTTTGAGCATTCGACGTTTTGAACATTCGACGTTTTTAGCATTCGACGTTTTAAACATTCGACGTTTTGAACATTCGAGGAATTGAGAATTCGATGTTTTTAGCATTCGATTAACTGAAGATTCGATATTTTTAGCATTCGACTACATGACGATTCGATGTTTTTATCATTCGACATTTTGAACAATCGACGTATTGACAATTCGATGTTTTTAACATTCGAAAAATTGATAATTCGACGTTTTGAACATTCGTCGTATTGACGATTCGATATTTTTAACATTCGACTAATTGATATAAATCGACGAATTGATAATTCGACGTATTGACAATTCGATGTTTTTAGCATTCGACTAAATGCCGATTCGATGTTTTTAGCATTCGACGTTTTGTCCATTCGATTACTTGGCATTCGACTATTTGATCATTCGACGACTGGGCGATTAGGGGGAGACGCCTTATTTTGGCCTAAATTCTAAAAGTTAGAAAAACCATTTGTTAGAATTTCAAAAGTTAGAATGTTTATTTGTTAGAATTTCCAAAAGTTAGAATGTTTATTTGTTAGAATTTCCAAAAGTTAGAATGTTTATTTGTTAGAATTACCAAAAGTTAGAATGTTTATTTGTTAGAATTATTAAAAGTTAGAATGTTTATTTGTTAGAATTTCTAAAAGTTAGAATATTTATTTGTTAGAATTTCCAAAAGTTAGAATGTTTATTTGTTAGAATTATTAAAAGTTAGAATGTTTATTTGTTAGAATTACCAAAAGTTAGAATGTTTATTTGTTAGAATTATTAAAAGTTAGAATGTTTATTTGTTAGAATTTCTAAAAGTTAGAATGTTTATTTGTTAGAATAGCCAAAAGTTAGAATATTTATTTGTTAGAATTTCTAAAAGTTCGAATGTTTATTTGTTAGAATTACCAAAAGTTAGAATGTTTATTTGTTAGAATTATTAAAAGTTAGAATGTTTATTTGTTAGAATTTCTAAAAGTTAGAATATTTATTTGTTAGAATTATTAAAAGTTAGAATGTTTATTTGTTAGATTTTCCAAAAGTTAGAATGTTTATTTGTTCGAATAGCCAGAAGTTAGAATGTTTATTTGTTAGAATTTCCAAAAGTTAGAATGTTTATTTGTTAGAATAGCCAAAAGTTAGAATATTTATTTGTTAGAATTTCTAAAAGTTCGAATGTTTATTTGTTAGAATTACCAAAAGTTAGAATGTTTATTTGTTAGAATTATTAAAAGTTAGAATGTTTATTTGTTAGAATTTCTTAAAGTTAGAATATTTATTTGTTAGAATTTCCAAAAGTTAGAATGTTTATTTGTTAGAATTATTAAAAGTTAGAATGTTTATTTGTTAGATTGTCCAAAAGTTAGAACGTTTATTTGTTAGATTCCCCAAGTGTTAGAATGTTCATTTGTTAGAATTTTTTTTGAGCAGCGAGTTTCCTTTCTATGTTACTGTTAGGCCTTAACTTCATTTACCATTTGTCCCAACAGTGTACAAGATTCTTCGTACACATGTTAGATGGAGCCAGAAGTAGTATTTACTGTATTTAAAGAAACATATGCTGTAGCAATTTCTTGATCTTGACAGTATATACACAATTTACAAAATATTAGTTTTTAATGAAAAATTCTAATACTATATGAAAAATATAATATTTTCCAGATAATAATTGAATGCTATTATTTAACTTTATATTTTTTGCCTCGTAAAATTTTATGTTTGTGTATAATAAAACTATATTAAAATGCTTTTAATATTATATATGTGACATCATAATGTCAATTTGACACAATTTTTTTGTCAAATATTTTCAGAGTTTTCTAGCGACTAAAAATGGTTAATTT